GTGCTTCAATTTATTGTAGGCGCGCTTCTGCGAATCCATTGAGAAAAATATACCGAATTGAACCAAAAGGGTCACAAAATATTAAATTGATATTGCAGTAAAATATATAGAAAACAAAATAATTTTTCAATATACATATACATACATGCATACACATATTAAATGTCATTGTTAAAATTGCTGCCTGGAGAAATTTGGAAAATTCAATAGCTTACCTGTTCAACAGACATTTCTCTTGTAAAAATTGTGTATTGTTTGGAATGTCCAGATGCGATTACGTGAATTAAATGCTATACTTTTTCTACTTTTGATAAATCAATAAGCTCTTAAGCTGGAAAACACGGACAATATACCCTCTTGGCACTTTTCTGATCTATGCGATTTCTTTTTGGCGATTATACTGCGCTGTGATTTTTCAGCTACGCTTTGTGCGTCTCCCCTACCTAATGTTTTTTACGCTTTTGTTGCTTTTCAAGAACCGTTCTCTTTCAAAAGGGAGTGACAGAGATGTTTCAGCGACCGATTAATGTTGCCAATCTCTAGGTTTGTTCGTCGAAAAACCAGCAAGAATTTTCCAACACTCAAAATATCAAAGATTAACCCCTCTATTCTAACAGAGTCACAAAACTTAATTTCAAGAAAAAAGCAATTGCTTAGTTTTTATGCATACGGCTTAACATTTCCAGTAGGAAGCAAAAGGTCAGTATGTATAAATAAAAAGCTTTATCAGGGGAACGTGTTATATTTTCAAATAGCAAATAAATAAAAAATACACCGTAAAATGTTGCCGTTTATTGCATGTGATCTGATGACGGATTCAATTTATAGGTCTTTGCAAACAAAGAATACAAATTGCGTCAAATTTAGTAAATCCATTACAGTTATGTTTGTTAACATTTTGACATGTAAAAACTAGGGAGATGTTTTATATAAGCAAGGTGTTGAATACTGTCGTACTGTTGTATGTCATAAACTTTAAACGGCTAAAACTGTATTTAAGGAATTCGCAAGCTAACATAAAAGTTTTATTATGAAATTTCACACAATTAAAAAATAGTTGGTGATCTAAATGGCGCTTATGACAATCTTTAGGCTATCTGCACACTTGTCGTCCAATCATAGTTGCGTTATCGTCTCGCCCTGAAATTTTGAGCCGAGCACATGCATTTCAAAGGAGATCTCCACACTTGTCGTTATCGGCTAGTTATCGGCAAATCGTAGAAGATGCAGAAACGGATAAAAGCTCAGTTAGTCCAGACTTAACTTAAGTTAACTTACCGTAAGAAATCATCAATGGTTATTTAACACGTCAACTTAAGCCAAGAGCGGAAATATTTTGTTTTTGTATTTCTTTTTTCAGCTGTTTAACAGTTCGCTGGCTAAAATGCCATATCAAAAAAATTTATGCAAACAAAAATGTTTGCTTTCATTTATTTTTAAGAATTACAAAAACGAGAGTCTGGCAAGCCTGATTCTCTCACCGCTCTCAATTTCCGTAAGGCCGTAACTTGAGAACCTAAAATCTACAGGTTCTTAAGTTTCTTACGGTAAGTTAAGTTTTAACTAACCGCCAACACAGTTTCTCATATAACAGGTTAGCCAAAATATTAAATTAAGTTAAGTTACGGAAATTAAGTCTAGACTAACTGAGCTTTAAGTACGGCACTGTCGTTTGCTAATCGTTGTGCACGCATTGTTTGTTTACATTTTATGGGGAAAATTAGTGAAAAAGTTAATATTTGCATTAAAATTGTATAAAAATTAGTATTTTTTTGCATAAAATCTGTGGAAATTATTAA